CAAACCCCAGCAGATCCAACTCCATAGTGGGCTGTTTCAAGGATCTGCCTATGCGTCGTCTGCCTCCCTACCTCGCCCTAACAATGATGGCTCTTGCTGAGCTGTTTGGTTTCATAATCCCTTTGGTCTGCATCACCTATAGCTCCTGTCGCATCGCCTGCTCCCTCAACCAGAGACACTCCGAAGACCAGCAAAACTTCCCCACACTCAATCCTTCAGCACGCAGCAGACTGCAGTCAGTCACTTCAAACGGTCAGAGTGATAAACACCATGAAAAACTGACGACTGGTGAGAAGCGCCGTGCTCTGCAGATGGTGCTGAGCTGCAATGCCCTCTTCTTGATCTGCTTTGCCCCCTACCACATCAACTTCCTGCTCTACCTCATGGTATCGCAGGACATCCTCTCCCACTGTGCTACAAGGGTGGCTGTGCGTCAGTTCCACCCTGTGCCCCTTTGCTTTGCCAGCCTGAGCTGCTTCCTCAACCCTCTGCTTTATTATTTTCTGACAGCTGAGTTCAGGCAGCACCTAACCAGGCGCACCTCCTCCCCTGAGCTCCCCGACCCCGCACCCTGCACAGCAGAGAATGATAAGCATGGAGAGTAGCTGCTCTGACAAGTAGTAGTGACACAATTATTGGTTGGATATGTCTTGGAAATACCCGATGGAAGCTGTGCAGACCCACAGAGCTTTGAGAGGAAATGACTCTTGACAATTTAATCTTCAATCAGCAGCTAAAATTTGTTTTTATCGGTTTCATTCTAGCAGAGACGACCAGTTTCTCATCCCAGTCCCCCCAAAAAATGTAAGGCTTACATCTGCTCACCGTAGACAAGATGGTGTAAATCTTTAACACCAAATCACAATCCTTCTACAACCTCCTGTCTCTATACAAGATCACCACATAAGTCTTTCCAAAACACAAACTTTCTATCCTTTCTACTTCAAAGAGACAAAGACACTGTTAATGGCCAGCAGGAAAGAACTGCAGGACAACTCGATCAGATAAACACCTGTCATCACACCTTGACGGGGAAGCGTCAGGTTTATCAGCTCAGCCATAAATCCTACATTTGGTTGATCTTTCCCGTGCTCTCTGTGAGTACAATCCAAAGAGAATAACGACAACTAGTCCAATTACAGGTTGGATGGACACTACACCATGAACTTCTGTCAGTACTCAACATACGCAGTTAAACAGTCTTTGTCCCATTTGCCTATCATGTTCATAAGCCAAGATCTCACACTGACAGAATAAATCTTTCAGTCTTTAAGTTCCTTGAGATCAACAGCTTTCCAAACTGTTTCATGGACTTTTAAGAGCTGAAGTTATTATGTTTGAATTACAACCCTTTTCTAGTAGGAAGAGTGTAAAAATGTTTAGTTCATCTCTTAATCATTTGTTTAGCTTTTTTAACCCATAGGTAGTTATGCTGTTAGTTACTAATCTGAATGTTGGTTTGTAGAATCCATTATTAACTGTTATGAAGTTCATTTACATGTGTTCACCCTTGTGTCATTCACAGTTTCTATGTGTTACTATCTGTTTCATTTCAGAGAAATTTGACATGATCAATACTCTATGAAAGTGATACTCAAAGCATAATGAGAATGTTTGTTAATGTGATTCTACAATTCTTTATCTGTGTTTAGCATCAAATCATTTATTATGACCCAAGCATTCTTTAACATTAATCATAGTGAGTGAATGTTTGAGCTGACTCCTTTACTAGCCAAAGTACAAGTTGGATCAAACAATCAGGGCTCTTGAAAGTCTCCTCTCTGGAAGCTGCAGCTGGAGATCAGATCCTTTCTCTCCTCACACCTTAGAGACACTCCCAGTCTGAAGAGTATAAAATCAGTAAAGCTAGGGTGATGCCTCTCTCTTACATCCCCTCTTGCCTCTTGCTTTTTCCTCTCTTGCCTTCTACTCTTCACACTCTTGTTTTTTTTCTCTCTTTTTTGTTTCTGCTAAGTTCCCTCTTAGCTTGTTTTCTCTTTGTCTTACTTTTTCCTTAGTCTTTTAAGTTTTCTGCCACATGTCCATTCACGTTGATCTTTCTTTGATATCGTCTTAGTTCAAGTTGTGAAACTTTAACTTTTTGTGCGCATAGCAATTCAAGATTAAGCCTTTAATTGATTTTTCTTTAATTTCGCAAAGCCATTTTTGAAATAGTTTCAACTGGTCATCGAGCCTCTTTTCCTCAGTTATCTGCGTGATTGACAAGTCACCTCTGAACGCCACCCAGCAGGCCCAAAGTCATCCTCTGAGCCAGAGTGTTGCAGTGAGACCAAAGGAGCATCCAAAGGACACATAAGGCTCTGGTTTTTGCATTCAGGCCTGTGTGCTGTGACTCCTGGCCTTTCCTTCGTCTGACTTCGATCCTCTTCAGAGCTGAACCTCTCGAACCGCAGGCAGCCTGGACCTTCGGAACTTGCTCCATCTTCTCCAAGGACCAGCCTCACTTAAGTATGCAAACCTCCAGAGCTCCAAACAGGGCTGATGCTGTCTCAGGCATTCAATTCAGATAACCACATCCAAATGTATCTTTACACCAAAGTTAATGTAGGTTAACATGTTAGCGCATATTCACTCACTATCATTAACTTTAGTGCTCTTAGCCTGACTCAGAATCTTTCATTCATCTGTCATTATCTATAATCATTTTATCATCATTTATTGCATGTATGTTGTACCATCATTTATCCTGTAATAAACTGATCATTCATTTTCTTGTTTGTTAGTGTTCTTCCAGACGTGGAGTCCCTGAAATGAGAATTTCGGCTTGAGAAATGAGATTGATTAATTTAAGATGAACTTAATGTTTGATTTCTGAATTAAATTTTGTTTTTCTTTATTTTCCCACCATTAAGGGTGGTTGGTGCCCCTTTTAACCAGTGCATAAATGTCATAAATCAAGATTATTATCAAATATTAATCTTAAGACATTTGTTATAAATTCAAATCTGTACATCATAACGCTTGTTGCCCAACAGCTTTGTGGATATCATTGCCTAATGTGCATGAGCTGCACCTGTTTATCTCAGTGAGCATCTTTGAATAAGCTACACCACAGATGTTGGACTTGTATGTTAATGTGTGTTAACTACTGTGCTGTGAATAAAAGCAACTTTATTCCTTTTGTCTCATCCGCTAACTTCTTGTTTGTCACTGTGGTGCATCCAAAGTTTCCTTAGTGTTGTTGGTAAAATCATATCAAATGAAAACAGGTGTGAAGCTTGTTTCTCTTGTACTTCCTCTCTCACTGCAGAGTGGTAAAGACAGTTGGCAGCAGCTCCAAAAAACATCAACTGCCAAAATCTGGTGGTTATCTGTTTGAGACTGAAAGTCAGCCTCCTACTCCTGCATCCACTCTGACGCTTCGCCCACCCTTGAGTAACCCACCTTTTATAAAAACTGCACTGCATCTGAACCGGACACCAAGAGTTCCCTACTTCATATCTTTTTACAACTGAAATTAAATCCGTCTTGGTAACCAGAATATAATTGCACAATCTATAATTAATTAATTCAGCCTTTCCTCCGTCAGAGTCTGGACATAACCTGGACAACAAAAGAGCAGTTGTTTGCAAATCGTTGTGAAACAGAAGTCGATGGTGTAAGTATTACTTCAAAAATAACCTTAAAAAAAAACAACAACTTTCAAACAAAAAGACAAAACACTATGAAGAACAGCAAAGTCAAGAAAAGTGTGTAAGGACAGTGCTGCATATTTATCTCTGGATATTGCTGGACAGGAGTACTAACCCGAGGTATTGGGTCTGGAACATCATGTTTATACAAGCTGTTACCTTGTCTTTTACTATGCTTTCAAAGTTACAGATGTGTGGTTATACTTTGCTCCATACCTGAATTACTATTTTGAAAAGAAAAGGACAAAAAGGCTTAAAAAACATCTTTTATCCTCTGGAAAGGACCTTGTTCATCTGCCAGGCCACTCTGGAGGGGTGATTGATGTAACCATCTGCAGAGACAGAGAGACAACAGTAGATGGATTCAGGGATTTGGGGTCAAGAGGAGTAGAGAGGAGGTCTAATATGATACTGCAGAGCAGGAAATAAGAGTGGAAGTGCAGAAAATGTGCATGAGCCGGCCATCATCTGTTGAGTGCCTCATGTCAAGAATGTGCCGATATATTGCAACAGAGGACACTCAAAGGTTCTTTTTAAGTTGCAGCATGTCCTCTGTGTATGAGCGGGAAGGGGTGCATACTGCAGTTCAGTGAAGTGTAGATATTAGCCTGTCCTGACCTCTAATGGTCATAAGCTAGAACAACAACTTGAAAAAAATAGACTGGTGACCACTAACTGTCACTGGTGTGGAGCTTTGCATCAGACTATAAGTTTAAGCAAACCACACTGTCACACAGGAAGGGTAACATAAGCCACACTTTAATGTTTTTTCTGGGAGTGACTGTGCAATCAGAGGTGTGAAGACAACAGGATGGATAGAACTGATATTAACTCTTTTTTTTTTCGAATCTATAGTTTACATTAAGCAACTGAAACTTAAACTTCAATATCAATATCAGTAATCACATAGAACAGACTGACATCCTTCAGATGTCAAGAGTCAACATGAAAAGACTAACGTAGGCACAATTATAACTCATAAAAACGATGATCTGATAAATAGCAGCTTTGAAACAGGAAGTCTTACAGGGGAAGCAAACTAAAACTTGTATTCATGTCACAACTGTGGACATTGCAGTATGCAAATTAAGACAACATTCAGACTGCAACAAAGTGTAGACATGCAGATATGTACATACAATCTGCACAATCAAGCTTTGTTATCTAAATCACCTTTCTTGTTTATGAAAGTGTAAGTTAAACTATCATGTCCCCACCTCTCAGTCTATCCTCAGACAAATGTGTGTTTATTTGTTTGTGAGGCTGTAGCTGTGGCTTCCCAACCACAAACCTGAACATGTTGAATACAACGTGCATCTTATGTTTTGGCTGTGCTGCCAGGGACTCAGTGACACAGAGCTAGCGGTAGACAAACACTTGCATTTGTGAGGGCAGAGCTTCCCCTTCCCCATATCACCATACCTATGACAGAGAGAGCCTGACGAGCGTGAGAGCAACGTGAGTAGATGCTCATCTGTGCACATGCACACACCACTGACAGATTTCTTTTTTTTTACTCTGCTGCTAAAGTGAGCCAGGGAGGTTTCTTGTTGACCCTGTATGCTACGGTTGTGCTTGAGGAGAGAAGAGTGTTCCTGCGTCAGCCTGCTGTTTACAGAGGAGTGTGAAGCTGCTGGAGTATGTGGTTGCTGGTGCTGACTGACCTCTCCTCTTCATCCACGCTGATTATATAGAGAGAAGACGAAGACACATAAGGTAAATACTGAGGGTCTGTTCAGAATAATGCTGTCTGACAGCGGTCACATCGCTGTGCTTTGTCTGAACATTTGTGGTCAAAGTCATGCTTTATTTTATGCTGATGAGTAGTTTTACCATGACATCCTATTTTACTTTATCTTTCGATTCACTTTAAGATTCTTCAGAGTGGATATTTAGATAGTATAAGGTTACAGCGGTTTCTTTAGATAATTGAGGAAAAGGTCAAAAGCTTTTGTTGTCATGGATACTTTATTTTAACCAGCACTACTGATGGAGCTATTTTGAAATGTCACTAAACCTGAAACTTAAGACACAGACAGAAACTTTCCTGATAAGTAATCAGGTTACCTTTTTATTCAGCAGCGATGAGAATATTGAATTTGCCAAGTCAACCTAGCGAGTACGTTTAGAAGTTTCATTTCATTTCCTTTCTTTTTATATACTGTAATTGTCCCCATGGGGAAATTTGTCGTGGACTCTCTGATGGTCCACAGTTCACAAATAAAAGAAGAACAGGAATATTGAGTGATCGCACCAGGCGATACACATGACACATGCAAGACAAGTATACAGCAGCAACAAGTATCACTCGCCCATATCACAAGTTCACGTGTGGGGCACTTCCTCAAACGTGAGTATTGGGTCACACTGTTGGTTGAAAACTGAAAACTTCATGTGCCAGCAGAGCTGAAACTGCCCCTGACTAACAGTACGGTAGCAGAAAACTGTCGCAGGTTTTCTGTTCCCCTCAGAGACCGGTGAAGGAAGGGTGTGGTCTTGGTTTGATGGCAGGAGGAAGGGTGATGCTCCAGTGATAAGCAGACTTAATGCTCTTTTTTTCTTCCACACATTTCCTGCTGTAATCTTCAGCCACGCACTCATTTCTGATTCTTTGCACTCTTATCTGCATGTTAAGACATTTGATTACTTATGCAATGATGCTTTAACAAACACTTTCACAGCCTGACAAATAATTCATTATTCATTATGGAAGAAGAGCTGAAGCAGTTTTGTCGCAGGTTACAAATTTCCTTTCATAGAAGATAAATACATTATTTTGTGTGTATTTATTTTTACTAAGCAGGTTATATGGAAGCCACTTAGAATTAAACTTCTTTATATGAGCAATCAATCAGCTAAACTTCATGAATCAGAAACACTATCCAGGTTGTGAAATAAAATTGTTGGCTGCTGTTTATCCTCCATAAACAGGAATTTGTTTGCACCAGGGGGAGCATACCACTCAACCACTGTACCACTAGACAAGATCTCTGAGTTACTTATTTACAGTGATAACATTGGATTGTTTTACTTATGTGCAAGAGAGAGCAGATTTTTCTGCAATCTCAAAATACATATGTTCAGTCATATCTGCAGCATGGAGAGTTTAACAGTCAGTGTCTCTTTAGAAAAGTTTATTAATATTTGAAACTGCAGGCATCACATTTTTTGAGGAAGTAAAACATCTTCTCAGAAACTCACTCACTTGCTAGAGAAGAAAAACCGTCACAGTAAAGGAGGTGTTGAGGAGGACTGTTTGATGGACTGGGGCCTTTTTTTTTCTATCTTCAAAGGCAGGTGGCAAAACCAGATCAACAACCAGCTGGGAAACAAAGAAGCAAACATTTATTCTCAAGTATTTGGCCAGCATGGATCAGCTGTCTGACGATAATCAATCAATCAATCAATCAATCAATTAATCGAAGTTTATTAGTAGAGCATCTTGAATAAATATAATATGTAATTCAAGGTGTTTTACAGCATTAAAAAAGGCAAGATTATGTTTGAAAATGAAACATTTTAAAAGACAGAAATTAATCTGGAAGTAGAGGCTCATGCACTCTGGTGGCAACAAAAAGATTAAAATATTTATAGTAATGAAAAAATATATATAAAGATAAAACTTAAAGACGAATAAAAGCAAAGGAAAAAAAAGTTTTAAAAAATTTGAACAAATATGATGATATCTCTGAATATGGTTTCTTTGTATGCTAATTGTGCACAGAATAATTGCTGACTAAAATTAGCCCCAGAGAGTCGACTGATGGTCACATTGCTCTGGCAACCACCAGACATTTCCACAATTTTGCGACACAAAGTGTTGTCATTATAAAAAGCTTATAATACAGGTATATTGCGCAAATATGCAAACAATTTATTGTTTAAAGTGTGCTGCTCTGCACACTCCTCTTCACACTCCTCTTCACGCTAGCTTGTAGCCTAACATTTCTGGTGTAGTAGAAGTGGCAGGTAACATAGAAGCTGTTCAGCTCTCAGACATGAATGTCTTTAGAGGCATGATGAAAGTTAATATCATAATTAGCTTTCTTATGAGCACTGCAATCCGCTAACACCCAAGCTTGTTCCACAATTGTCCTCTTTACTTTTCGGAATCTGGCCTGCATAGCGGGGCTCCGTGGGCAGAGCTTGGATTTGCTACGTAGGAAATCTCACTGTGTCTGAACCTGCTGTTTGGTCTGCCAGAGATTCACAGTGATTTGAATGCAGAAATACTCAGAAATGCAATGTCACACTTTTTTTCACATATGTCCTGTAGAATAAGAAAAATGCCATATGACCATGTAGACAACAAGAAAAACATGATTTTCATCAGAGTAGGTCTTTAACATTGTTTAAAATCAGCACTGTTTTTAATGACATACTATTTTTAGAGGTGGTTCCATTACCATCAATGAATTTACCTGTTTTTATATATGAATCACCAAGTGGAGAAGTGTTCTGGCCATCTCTCCAGAGTAGAGAGAGTATGGTCTCACTGATAGATGACTGTAGGAGAAAGACCTTTAAATTATGACTAAACCTCCTGTACTAGAGGTAGGGCTGGGCGATAAAATGATAAGGACATATATCGAAAATTAATTTCCCTCAATATCAATATCAAACATGGTCAATATCCTTTTTGATAGTCGGCATTCTGCCATGTTTTGGTTGACTATATGAATAGCCACTGAAAAGGGAAGTTGCTCTGGGTCTGCTTTGTGCTGAACCAATCATGTGCTGAATTAGAACCAAGTAGCAAACAACTGCGTAGTAGCAGGCTGCAGCTACACCCAACCATAGCACTTTAACACGTGAAGCCGACAGCACTGTCACTGAAAAAAAAAAAAAAAGAAAATGAGTGCTACCCCCGGCAGAAATACAGATGAAGGCTCAACAGATGGGCTCCATTTAAAATGTCATGGCCAATGCAAATGTTCTACAAGCTATTATGGCTTGACATTGTTGACAACGCTGGCACCAAAACGTCGGTGGTGTGGAGGTCTTTTGGTTTTGAGGTCGGACTTAAAGTAGGGCAATGTTCACTGCAAATTATAGAGTACATGCTGGAGAATACCACATATCTTTTCCACCACCTGAAGCAGTGCCATGCGGCAGAGCACGTGCAATGCATGAGATCACAAACCTCGAGCGGAGCAAGGAGCCCATGGCGCCTGTGCAGCCGAAACAGCTGAGCATTCAGTCTGCTTTCTATAGCGCATAACCAATAAGCACTGTTAAAGTTTAGTTTTTATATCATGATATATATCAATATCGACTGATATGAAGACAATACATTGTGGTAAACTTTTTTCCATATCAACCAGCCCTAACTAGAGGTGATGGGAAGTTTGAAGGGTAACTAGAGCCGCTCTTAGCTGTGGTGCTACTAAACAAACAAACAAAAAAAAATCATTTAGAAAGGGCCCCATTTAAAATGTCACGGCCAATGCAAATGTTCTACAAGCTATCATGGCTTGACAGTCATGAGTCTTTATGATTTGTCATGACTTTTCTCCCTCATATGGGGCCTGTGTCCTTAAGATAAATGACGTCTTACTTTTAAGTCTTTTGTGAATGAAAGGAAAGATTTTGAATTTAGAGTTTATAAAGAACATCACTTGTGTCAAATGCATCTCTGTGATCTAATAGGACAAATGGAGATAAGGGTCATCTGTTCACAGCACTGAGAGAATTTTCTTGGGGTGGCCGTGGCTCAGTGGTTAAGATGTTCATTGCACAATCGTATGGTTGAGGGTTCAATCTCAGGTCCCGCTGTCCACGTGTTGAGGTGTCCTTGTGCCCAGTGGTGTGTGAATAGGAAAGAGGGGAGGTAAAATGTATGTCATTTATTTGCCAAGGTGTCTGGACTAATAGTAGGCTTTTATAAAGAGGGTCTAATTACAGCCCCTACATGTGACTGTGGTACACAGCCTGTTGACTGAATACATTAAGTAAGGAAGTGCTGACTGAGGATAAGACTTCCTTATTCAGCCTTCCTAGAATAGGGTTGAGAAGAAATCCATCCTTCCTCTTTCTTTTTCAGGTGTAATGGCTGAGTAATCTGAAATGACTCTGAATATATCCAGATGGTCGGGAGAGTCCCCATCCAGCTCCCAATCACAATGTGGCAACAATATGACCGACTGGGAGCAGCGCATGGACAAGATGTACACATACTTCTACCTGATCCTCTTCATCCCTGGTCTGCTTCTCAACACCTACGCTCTCTGGGTCCTCTGCAGATACATTAGGTACATGCAAACAAACACTAATGTCATGCTTAAAAACACTCAGGATATGGCTAACTCTTGTGTTTGTTGCCCCACAGTAAGAAGACCAAGGCAGTGATCTTTATGATCAATCTGGCATTAGCGGACCTGGCCCACATCCTCTCCCTGCCCTTCAGGATCTACTATTACTTCACACACATCTGGCCCTTTGGACGAGGCATCTGCTTGTTCTGCTTCTACCTAAAATACCTCAACATGTATGCAGCTATAGTCTTCCTGGTGAGCAGACAGTGATGTTTGGAGGAGACAGATGTCTCACTTTGGGAGTTGCCTTGTTTTGATCATTGTAGATTTACTTCAAATCATTTTCATGCCACTATTTTTCTGATTCCAGGTATGTATCAGCATCCAGAGGTGTGTTTTTCTGCTCAATCCCTTCGCTGCTCGCAGGTGGAGGCGCCGGTACGACCTGTTGATCAGTATCATCGTGTGGCTGGTTGTTGGTTTGGCCTGCTCCCCGTTCATCCTGATGCGGAGCAGCAGTGCCCCTACCAGCCCTGGTATCAGCGCACAGACAGACTATAACAAGACCTATTCTCTTGACAACACAACAGGACAAGTTCTCTTTACCGCCACTTCACCTTTGGGTTCAAACCCCAGCAGATCCAACTCCACAATGGGCTGTTTCAAGGATCTGCCTATGCGTCGTCTGCCTCCCTACCTCGCCCTAACAATGATGGCTCTTGCTGAGCTGTTTGGTTTCATAATCCCTTTGGTCTGCATCACTTATAGCTCCTGTCGCATCGCCTGCTCCCTCAACCAGAGATACTCCGAAGACCAGCAAAACTTCCCCACACTCAATCCTTCAGCACGCAGCAGACTGCAGTCAATCACTTCAAACGGTCAGAGTGATAAACACCATGAAAAACTGACGACTGGTGAGAAGCGCCGTGCTCTGCAGATGGTGCTGAGCTGCAATGCCCTCTTCTTGATCTGCTTTGTCCCCTACCACATCAACTTCATGCTCTACCTCATGGTATCGCAGGACATCATCTCCCACTGTGCTACAAGGGTGGCTGTGCGTCAGTTCCACCCCGTGTCCCTTTGCCTTGCCAGCCTGAGCTGCTTCCTCAACCCTCTGCTTTATTATTTTCTGACAGCTGAGTTCAGGCAGCACATAACCAGGCGCACCTCCTCCTTCACCTCCTCACTCCTCTCTTCTCCTAGTATGAGCTCCCCGCCCCTGCGCCCTGCACAGCAGAGAATGATAAGCATGGAGAGTAGCTGCTCTGACAAGTAGTAGTGACACAATTATTGGTTGGATATGTCTTGGAAATACCCGATGGAAGCTGTGCAGACCCACAGAGCTTTGAGAGGAAATGACTCTAGACAATTTAATCTTCAATCAGCAGCTAAAATTTGTTTTTATCGGTTTCATAACGCTTGTTGCCCAACAGCTTTGTGGATATCATTGCCTAATGTGCATGAGCAGCACCTGTTTATCTCAGTGAGCATCTTTGAATAAGCTACACCACAGACATCGGACTTGTATGTTAATGTGTGTTAACAACTGTGCTATGAATAAAAGCAACTTTGTTCCTTTTGTCTCATCTGCTATCTTCTTGTTTGTCACTGTGCTGCATCCAAAGTTCCTTCAGCGTGGTTGCTCATATCATATCAAATGAAAACAGGTGTGAAGCTTGTTTCTCTTGTACTTCCTCTCTCACTGCAGAGTGGTAAAGACAGTTGGCAGCAGCTCCAAAAAACATCAACTGCCAGAATCTGGTGGTTATCTGTTTGAGACTGAAAGTCAGCCTCCTACTCCTGCATCCACTCTGACGCTTCGCCCACCCTTGAGCAACCCACCCTTTTATAAAAACTGCACTGCATCTGAACCGCACACCAAAAGTTTATTTTTACAACTGAAATTAAATCAGTCTTGGTAAGCAGAGTATGATGTTGTGGATTTTATGGCAGTTTTAAAAAAGGTAAAGAAGCGATCTGTTTTCACTTTCTGTATTGATTCCTGGTCTTGATAGATCACACCAGTTTTATCTACTAACCAAAAGATTAAAAATCACAGATAGACGTTGTTCACAAAGAAAAGAGCAGCCATAACAGCAGAAGTGTCAGTGTCAAAAGTTCTTGTAAACCACACCCCCACTCCCACAGGAAGCTCTGTGTGTGCCGAAAAACCCTCAGAAGAACAGCAGAGACGCAGAGAGAGAAAGACAGACTGACACACAGAGAGGAATCAAAACCGGAAATACTTCAGATAAGACAAAAATTAAATTTGAGGGACAGAGGATGATATAAAGGCTCATATTAGGACAGAAACCAAGGGGGTGGTGAGAGAAAGTGAATAGCATTAGAGGGGGAGGAGAAAGAGGATGGCGTGTGTGTTGGCTGATGCTTCATCCTTCTGCTTTTTGATGCGACACACTCTCAAGTTTGAAGACAGAGGTGAGAAACGATTATCAAACTAACAGCTTCTTTTTAAAAAAAACCTGGACATCTCTGTGAGAGTCTGTGCTAGCTGGATGTTTTCATTATGGAGTCATGCCTCATGGGGGACCATGCATGTTTCTCCAATGTGAGGAATGTCTGTTATGTCTGTGAATGTGTTTCTGTGGGCCGGTGTCAGAGTGGGTGTTAGAGCCCTTAAACTGTAACCCAGTGTAAACTGTAACTGTAGGGGATCATGGCACTGCTTTTGCCTTGGAACGGCACATCAGGAAGGACCCCGGTGCTGTCGACCAACTTTTTGGGTGCTGATACATGACACCAAACATGGTGTGTGAGTGGAAAAAGTGTGGTATGCCAGCAGCCCACAGAGAGATGAATCACACCAGATGAAATAATGGGTTTCCATTGGCAACATCACAGGATTAAAACTGATGAATGTTGAAGTTGAAGTGCAGTTTGTCAGAGACTAAAAAAATTGTTGCTTTTCATACTCCCAAATCTGACCAAGTCCACCCTAACAGCTCTGTAAGATCATGTTTCTGTCACAGCGGGATGATGTGTAGCTGATGGATATTATATAAGATAAACATGTAGCCTCAGATGCACATAATTACACCATAATCCACAAGGAGGAAATAAAACTGCGGTAACTGGGCAGCATAACACAATAAAAGTTTATTGATGGAAACTTTGGATCTAGGCGAATGGGTCAAAGGCCAGTGAAGCTTAAAACATGTCTGAGGACTGAGGGTCTATGTGGAGACCTCTTTTATTGCTCTGAGGAGGGAAGAAACCACTCTTATTTATTTGTTTGAGGCTTGTTCATTTATTCCCTATGAAACATGCAGCTATGGACATTTCACCCTTCTGTCCGCAAGCTGAGATGTCCTCGGGCAAAACACTTGACCCCACCTGCCCCCATTGGCTGTGCCCAGTGTGGTGTGATTAGTGAAAAAGCTGATGGTGCTCTATACATAGGAGCATCCACCGTGAGTGGGTGAATGTGGTGTGAATGTGTGAATTTGACTTGTACTACAAAGAATGTTTTGAGTGATGTAAACAAAGCCCACTAACCATTTACAATAGTTGTCTATTCATGCTTAAATATCGTAATTGCCAAGAGCAATAATGGTTATTTGCTTGTCTAATGTGGATAGATCAAAGATGGATTAAAGATAGAATAATTGAAAATGATCTGTTCTAACATTTATCCTGTCCCAGTAAATCCTGCTGTTTGAATTCCAGTTTTCAAGTCTTTTTTAATCTTCCAACTGGGATCTTGATTTGGTCCCTCAGGCCTGACATTCTTAAAAACCACTCTGGGCCTGATTCCATCTCCCATTTCTGTTTAACAGTTGAGCAATTCTTGGTCTTTTGTCATCCATAACTTTACTTTGTGATAACCTTTTTAACTCCGGGGATGAATGCATGAGAAAGTATAGCGATCAGGTGCCGTTTACTACCCTGTTTGGTTAATGTCACAACAGATGTAGCCTCCGACCTGGCTGTGTATGTATATGTAAGACATAGGCAAAACACTCCAATCTATTATAGCATTACAGGGCATTACCTGCCCTTGGGGAGCCACCCTGATTCAGATTGTTCCAGAGTTTGAATTTATCAAGTATGAATGAGGATTTGGATTGTGTTTGTTCCAAATCTTTCTATTTGGCTAAGAGGACTGGACTATACTGGTATACCAATGGCCAGGCTGGCAGAGAAATACTCCTTCATGTTTGTCATGAAAAGTTTATCAATGACATGATAGCAGATCCACGAGCCACAGTCATGTTGTATTTAGTCTGTAAAATAACCTCACAGGCTTATTTATGATCATGTATAATAAAACCTGGACACCATTGCGGGAAACACTTATTTATTCCACAAATGCATTAAAAGCATGAAAAACATTCAAGTATTAAGTGATGAGACCACCTCATGGAGTCTTTTTGTATTCTCAACAGGGCTGTGAAGCCAAAAACAGTGGTGGTGGTAAAGGAGGGGTGCAGGAGTAGACATCTGAAGATCCTGGATACTGATGGGATGAATTTAAGGTGACTGGGGTGGAGAGTGATCACAATGGTTCACAATGAAATCACAAAATGAGGACAAATTAAAGAGCTACATCTCATATCAAGGAAATCCACAATGACATCCCATGATCCCTCAGGCTTACCCTGTAACACTTTGGTGGGGCCTGTCCTACAGTTTGGAAACCAGGGCTGGCACAACCTTGATACCAATTTCTGATTGATTAAAATAGTCTGCAGACAGAAAATGTTTCAGCTAAATTAAAGATTTAAATGTTCTGAATTTTTGTACACTAAAACTATCTAGGGAAAAAGTGACTTAAATGTGGATAAAACTAAACGGCATTATACTCCAATGACTAAGACTACATCTGAAATAGCAGCCAAAATGAACACTGTTGCAGTGGTAGCCTTACTCTGCAGTAAAGGTTCACTATTTGTTGGAATCAAGTCTTTCTCTTCCTCTTCTTCTTTATCTTCCCTCTTTTACTGAGTCAGTTAACTACAAGATTAAAAAACACCCTCACCCCCACCAAGAGTGAGTTAAACGGTATGACTGTCTGCTTATTTTCAGCACATATAATCGTGTCTGTCTGTCAGTTAAAAAATGCATCACAGTGTCACTCTATATTGAGTCTAGTCAGAGTCATTTCCCCAAAACGCTTAAAACTGTGAAACACTATTTTTGTAAAAACACTTCAACTATGGTGATTCTGTTTTTCAACAGATGTTAATCATCCAGGTTATTTATGTCAGTTTTTCCTTGCTGCTCGTTACACTTCCCAAAACAAGGAGGTTCCAAAAACTTAAGAGTCTAAATGTATCTCTCCATTCTTGACAACATTGACAAAGAATTTAATGGAAACTTAAAGACCTATTTTTACAAAATAGTGTTTCTTTAAGATTTTAGAAGAGTCTGAAATGACAGCAGCTCATACACACTTATTTTTAGTTTTAAACAGTGTCTAATAAAAGTAACTATTTGCATGTTTCATCTTGAAATGCACCAGTGATAATGATGTACATGTACACAGCAAATTCACTCTTCTCTGTACAAATTTAAGACAAGCTTTGTCTGTAAAAGCAGTAAAAGAATCGACAAAAGTAAACATTAAAGCTATCTAATCTAAAGAAGATTTAGTGTAGGGACTAACATGGTGCAATCAAACGCAATAGGAAAGAGCAGAGCCAGGGCACACCTACTGATGTTCACAGCAGTGGGTGCATCACACCTACAAGCTGGAAACTCATTTGCAGACATCGGCTCATGCTTCCATCTGAGGTGAAAATGACTTCTTCACATAAAGCAGATCTTAAGCCTTCTGAAACTTTGGTTGTTCTTCGCATCTAAGCATGACTGGTGAGATTTGTCGGACCTGTGAACCACACACATGGTCTTGTATACCAGATGAACAATGCTGGTTTCACTACTGCGTTGCTATCTAGCGCTTCACACTGGCTTACTGATATCTGCAGCTGAAGACGTGAACACACTGTGGGAGACTGAAGCATCAGCGACTCTGTGGGTTTGCATATTTACAGTAAATGGTTCCACAACAGCTGCAGTTGCACCAATAATGTTATATGCTATGCACTGTTTTAACACATAACAAACTAAAGCAGTGGTTGACACCTATGAGTGTGTCTGCACGTGCCTGTGTGTGTGGGTTAGTGTCAGGGTGCCACACAACATGATCTGTGTGTTATCAAGGAAGCATTTTTCTATGTTACAGCAATCTAACATGCAAACATGTTATGATCAGAGGCTTTTTTATAACCACACAACTTCCTATATTTTATTCATACCTACTTCCATCTATCCCAGCATGCACTGAGCATGGGGCAGGCCAGGTGGTTTTGAACTAACTCATTATTCTCTCCTCTACCAGGAAGCAGTAATACTGGATCTGACAGGAGTTTGACCTGGTTACCTGCGCTGGATCAGCTTTAACTTCACCTGGAAGCATGAATTCCTCTCCGCCAACACAAACAGCATGGACACTCACACAAAAACATCCATCACTGGACCACAAGCAGCTTTCCTGATACAAGCTTTCCAACAGATCACAAGGCTGCTTGTCTAAGCAACCAACAGAGACCGGACCCTTGCTGAAAATGAATGAAGGCAACCACAGCTGTGACTGCACAGAGGATTTTCGCACATACCAGCACCAAGTGTATGCTGTGGTGTACAGTGTGATCTTAGCACCAGGCCTTCTGGGTAATGTGCTGGCCATCTGGGTGTTCAGAGTCTATGTCAGAGAGACCAAAAAGGCTGTGGTGTTCATGATGAACCTGGCGGTGGCTGACCTGCTGCAGGTAAAAATACTGCTTTGTCTTTGAAAATACTTCATACCTGAAGGGTATCTCATTTCCAGTATTTGAGCTGAATATGTGTCACACCTTTTACGTATTAGTGAGCAAATGTAAAAGTTTGAAATGTGATTTTGTGTTTATTGTAAAAGTGATTTCTTGCCCCCCAGAGGCATCCACAGTGGGTGTGTGAGCAGGTAAAGATTGATCAGTAGCTCAGTATTAAAGATGGCTGTGACCTGAAGATAGATTTAAAATAGTGAAAACATATTCCTTCACAATGTGCAACAAAACATCAGGTGAAAAAAGTGACATCCACAACTCAAAGACATGTTGCAGTATCAGGGGTAACAGAGGGAAATAATTCTCTTAAACCAAAACAGCAGAGGGCAGGAAAGGCTTTGAGTTTTTAACAAGCAAAAAGTCTGTGTTTGTTAAGTACACAACAATCAGCTTTGGCTGATTATCTGGACCAATATTTTGCATTAGGCTGATTATCTGTTTCTGCGCTTTATTTCACTATTTGACAATTGAATAAATAAATCAAAAAGTGGGCTAGTCTGGCTCTGCTGCATGTGGGTCTTCACTCTGCCCCACCTAATTTTTCGCCCCAAAAACCCTTATGATTGTCTGGATGTCATACATCTGTGTGATGTAACTGTACTCTAAGTGTAACTGGTTGCCTGTTAACTCGTGTGGAGTTAATGCTGGAAGTACCTGTTTTAATCTAACATTTGCTAAATGCATTTAAACATAGTTTCATGTTGTAGTTTGTGATATTTAAAATTTGAAATTATGACCGAAAGTCTTTAATTTTTACAGTCAGTGGATTTTGGTTTGAAGTGTTGGTTATTTGTCTAAATGGTCATCTTTATTGGCCCTGAAAAGCCAGTATCAGTTATGAATGTCTTTGGTGTGTTACTCAAAATCTCCACTATCTCGGCAGTTTCATTGTTGGTTCAGAGTGGGTTGTGGTTTGGACTGTGAGTGTCTTTGGTTTCTGCTTTGATCAGCTGAAGGTAATAGTCTGTGTACTGTCGTGTGGAGTGGGAGATGGATCTCAGGAGCCCAGATAACTTGAATGTCATTAAAGAGTGCGAGTATGGTTGAGTAATCAGAAAATTTAAGCATGTTGTGACTGGTGAGGGACTGGTTACAGTCATTGGTGCAAAGGGTATACAAGACGGGACCAAGGACTCAACCTTGTGGTGCTCCAGTGTGGGTAGTGGTAATTCAGGGTGTTAAAATTTCCCTCTTAGGCTGTTTGTGTTTGTCAGTGAAGAACCTGTTCGCAGAGAATAAGGACTTTGGGGACGCTGAACTGTTTTTGATCACTTGGTGGTGCGGAAAACTTAACATGTCACAGAGGTGAAGCAAAAGGACTGATAAATAATGTTGCTGCTGCACTTATCAGTTTTGGTTGTTCAGTCCTTTCTTCTTTGTGAGCAGCGTCTCAAACCGAAACTCATACTTGACACTCAAAGGCCAAAAAAAAGGGGTGGGCAATCTCTCGCTTTTCAGATGCTGTGCAAGTTGCGGAAGGGAGTGGGTGGGAAAGCACCAAAGTGTCTGAGTAGTTGTGTAAGTTTGGCTACATTTAAATGAGTACATTTGGGACCTCACCAAAATAAGGTTTCAACTGGTGAACATTACTGACGCCACAAAAACCCATGAATCTAGCGGCACTACACTATTGTTGCACTTAAGGGACTTTTTTTTAAAACATATAACCAGGGCAGCAATTTGTTGTTTTTAGTCTTAATGCATTATGTTGAGTTGGGGCTTTAACAGCTCCTTCAATAAACTGAGTTTTCCTTCAGCCTTTGTTTAGATTCATACAAAACCAACCGGCATAAGCCTTAAAGGAACAGCCTTACATGCCTAACTACATTTACCAGCAATAAAACACTAAACTAACAAATTAAACTAAACTTAATTTTTAAATTGAGTCCTTTACTTTAATTATTAACACCATCATGCACTATGAGGAAGTGCAGCCTGCTAAACTGAGAAAAGGATAAAGATTCCTGTCACACCCTGACTGGTAGTTAATCCTCAACCCTCCGGTCAAGGGGTCATTTTTTTACCGTCTTAATGTGACGGTGTTGCAGTGCTGTAATGTTCCTGTATATCATTTTTGTTAAATAAAATATAATAAATAGACGTGCATTAGCAAGTTTCATGTTAATGTTATTCCGTCTTTGTTAAAAGATATTCCTTTATGCTAACAAAGACAGGGAAATTTACATGTTACAGCACTAAAGGAAAAAAAATTAGAGCAAGTTATATTTATTTTTAACTTATTACCTGATTAATCATCAGAATAATAATATAAGACAAAATATTCCAAAACAAAATTTATCAATCACTGCAGCCCTACATCCAGTGACTGTATGATCTGCAATCACTGTAATGCTTTATGTACTTGATCTTTATCACGTTACAGGGCAGTGACTGTGCTCAAGAAAAATATTAACATAAATCAGCATCAGTGATACAACAATATTGTAAAATCTGGTATCATTCAAAATCAGTTTTCTGTTGTAAGCCTCTGTGTGTTTCTGTCCTCAGGTGCTGTCTCTGCCTCTAAGGATCTACTACTACCTGAAGAACACCTGGCCCTTTGGTCATCCTCTCTGTATGTTCTGCTTCTATCTAAAGTATGTCAACATGTACGCCTCCATCTACTTCCTGGTGTGTGTCAGTGTGCGTCGCTGTGAGCTCATCATGCAGCCGCTCAGGTACAACTCATCCAGGAGGAAACGAGACTGGTTAATATGTGCTTTCGGCTGGTTGTTAGTCTGCCTGGGATGTCTGCCCTTCCCTCTGCTGAGGAACCCCAGCGCTGTGTTACACAATAGTTCAAGTGACGTCTCAGGGGCCTCTTCCAACCTCCCTGGACCTGTGTGTTTCTCAGAGCTACCCATGAGGCCTGTGAGTATTCCAGCAGCCTGGGCCCTCCTGATCCTCGCCGAGCTGTTGGGCTTCGTCATCCCCCTCATCCTGGTGTTAGCCTGCACCTGTCTGACAGCAGGGAGCCTGAGGCAGTCACCGGCCGGGGCCATTCCTGACCGAGGCGAGAAGCGGAGGGCATTGAGGATGGTGTTGAGCTGTGCGGCGGTCTTCTTATTGTGCTTCGCTCCTTACCATGTCACCATGCCCTTGGACTTCCTGGCTAAAGCCAAAACTCTGAGCAGCTGCACCCTCAGGAACTTAATTCTGCGATGTCACCCTGTCGCTCTCTGCCTGGCAAGCCTGAACTGTAGCCTGGACCCTCTTATGTACTATTTTACCACTGATGAATTCTGGAGGCGGCTGAGCAAGCCAGAAATACCCGAGAGCATGGCCTTTAACAGGCGCCTGTCCTGTATAACTGGAGAAGAGGAGCACGAGAAATAGGCTGAACAGTCAGTGTTGTGAAACTTTCATGTGAAATAGGCTAAACAGTCAGTGTTGTGAAACTTTCATGTGAAAAACTCAGTTTCTTCTTAACCACTAAACCCAGAGGAGTAAATTAAAAATAAGAAAATGTAATGGAGATGTAAATCACGTGTAAGTATGGGTGTGTATTCAAAATGTCTTTCTTTTTCTAGAAATATGTTAATAAAGGGTGTGCCCGTTCTTTCTATATTTGTATGACCCTGTCGAGGAGTGAGCTGTTCCTGTTGTGAAGAATAAACTCTCCATTAGTGCCAACATCTCTAATAAGCCACACAAACCACACAACCTGCTACAATTTTCTCCCAGGGCCAGTTAGAGATCAGTTTACAGCTTAGAGGATAGTAAAAAGGCTTGGTGGGGCTTTCCATTGTGCATCTTTCAACAGCAATAAAATAACACAGAGCCAAAGTATTCAAACTTAAGGTAAAGAAATGTAACTTTATTCAACAACAATGTGTAGTTTATTTCAGTAGCTGGACACAACATTGGGTTTTTAGTATTGTTAAAAAGCTGGGACAGTAACACATTTTTATGAGCACACAACCTGTCTGATTGTCTGTCTTTGCAAGTATCGAGTGGAAAACCACCGGAAATTATTTGAGCAATCTGGCGAAAGAGCCATTTTTCAGAATTTCAAGATTTTCTTCTTTTAGATGAGAGGAGCAGACTCACCCAGGAATTCCTGTGGAAAACTCTAAACACAAAGTGTTTAGCTGCAACACTTGATGCCTCGTACAGTCAAATATTCATTACAGATCATCTCATTTTGCTGGTTTACAAATTCATTAAAAAAAAATAAAAATCTGAGAATTTTTTTTCCAAGTTAAATTTGGTGAAATTTCCCTTTAGCTTATCCAGGTCTTTATGTAGTCAACTATCCTTCTTCAAGTTTATTGTCACATATAAAGTTTCTACACAAACAAAAACACTGGTCATATAGGGTGCTGGACTGTTCACCTTTAGGTATGACATCATTAATGAAATAAAATCATCACATAAGGAGCGCAGACGGCCTCTGTAGGAAGCAGCAGAGCACTCTGGGAAATACAGTATCTACAAAAATGGTGAGTGTAAGCTCTGTGCTTGAGCAGCTCTGGTACCATCCATTGATAACACTACCATGTTGCACATGTACTGTAACTATACTGAATCACACATTTCCAGGGTGACTTGTGCTATATCACAGTTCAATATACAGAAGATCAGAACAGCAGGCTGACACATAGTCTGGTATGAATGACTCGTCAGTATCTCTATGGTATTCAGTAGGAGGAATACAACTTTTATCCGGAGGTGACCGCATGATGTAGTACAGTAACAATGATAAGCTAAGTCAGCAGGAAGCTACGGAAACAGAACAAAAACAAACAACAAATAAAACTCAGAGTACCTCTTTAGAAAGCAGGCGGACACCAGTTATCTAACTAGTCAATACTTGAGCGAGAGAGAGCTATGGCCTATACAGGTTCAAGGCGGTTCAGCAGAAGAAAGGGGGCTAAGCTAACACTGTAACTTAAGTTCACTTCTCACTGGGATTAAAGCAGGGGAGCAAAAACTGGAGCTAAAAGTTCTATACAAAAGTAACTTTCTGCTAAAAAGTTGTTCCCTTCTTCACTCACAACCTCCTACTCACATACCGACTCTGTCACTCTGGTCGCTCTCTCGCACACTCTCATTCACTTTCTGACCTATACCCGTGCTTTCCAATCAAGCTTTGCAGATCCTGGTCTCAGTCACAAACTTGTTCTCAAAGTGGTGGATGGTGAAACACTCCTCGGCCGAGCGCTTCTGGATGCCTCCGCCTGACAAACACAAGCAAAGATAAACATCAGTGAATAAAATCAATAAAGGCACTGACAGTAACTTTCAAGTTGTGTTGATTCTGGGGTTGAAATTAGTGTGTTTTTATGGGCTGGAGACCACATTTCCCACAAAGCACTATCAGACACTGTTGTTAAGATGTGGCTCTCGCTAAAGCACATTTTTCGTGGAAGCAAAAAAACGTAGTTTAGATCTTCTTTATATTACGTCTTTTCTGAGTTTCAGACAGCTTTTACAGGACACAGAGATGAGGTCACTGATTTTTTTTAATGACTAACTTTAGCAACAATGCCATTAGCAGATATTTTCTGCTTTACTTCTTCGTATTTGTTTTAATCTTTAGTCAATGAGTTTGAGATTTATTTTTAACAAAATAGCTGCTAGTCCATACTTTAAAATCCTTCTTAAAATCTTTTGTGTGTTGCTGATCTTTCTCAGAGACTGTGTGACATTCCCTCACAGCACACATTTTCTTTCATGGTTGATTATTAAAATAAATCAGTTTGTCCAGCAGGGGGATTTCTTCTGAAATGGCAGGAAGGTGTAATAGCTGTAATAGTGACAGATAGAAGACAGGATATTTCAGGGTATAGATAAATATTAGTCCCTGACATCGATGCATAACAGATTATTTAGCAATGTGATAGTGTCAGTCCACAGGATATTAACAGATTATACTAATTATTACTGTATTATCATCAGCTTAAGAAAGGTGTCAGTCCTGGTGTCATGTTATATGTGAGAATAACATGAATTTACATGAAAAGAGTAGTGAGGCATTCACATGCTGGCACTGAATTCAAACCCCCTTCAGAATCATTTTGCTCTTTTCTTTTCTACAGAGAAAATCTCTGGTTGTAGATTTTCTCTGTTCAAAGCAGTACTCCAAGAGAAAATTGATGCATTTTGGCTGATACTGCTTCAGAATCAGCCACGAGTACAAAACACAATCTAATTAGCAAGTTATCCAAAGAAAAAATCCCCTCCTGCTGGATAACTAACTCCTCTTTGTCAAAACTACAGGCTCTAAACTTCAGTCTCGACACAAAAAAAATCACGGAGCCATCAATGTAAACAGCCTTCTTTAGATAATGGTGTTGTATCCCAGAATTTTAACCTAATTAAATCAATGTAGTTTTGTTTAAACTGAATTTATGATGGTTTTTAGTTTATCTGGTGAGTAAATCCAGACCTGGCAGGCTGGAACGGCGTTGCATCCTGTATGTCTCTTTCCCATCACACAGCCGGCGGATGTAGAATCCCAGCGGCTTGATATCATCGATACGCTCGGTCACCACCAGGTCCTCGTGCACCAAGTAGCTGCGGTAAGAGCCAGACTGAGACAAAAACAAAAGGTCAGCAATAAATCTTAAACATCTTTAATCACTAATACTTCCTTTAAAACAGCTCAGTGAACACGACTGCAGCAAAGTGTGAAAAACAACCCGTTGGAAGATTTTGGTCCCAATTAGTGAATCATGCCCAACTTCTGCTTTTTGTGAAACTGATGATGAAATCTGCTGAATGCATAACCGCCAACCAAACACCACATGCGAGACAACATGTCGGGCGGGAAAACTAAGCAAACTGTTTCAAAGCCTGCTGAACTACAGTTAGTGAAAAACTTTGCCAAGTTGACCCAAATCCTCTTGAAATATCCCATGAAATGTGAATAAAACAACCTACATTCACACAAAAACACAACTGAGCGGACTGGTAAAAAAAAAAACTACACAGATTTACTCCAACTGTCTCATAACTAGGAACAGCTTTGAATATTCATAATTAGATTATTTTGAGACATGTGGTTTCGGGGGGGAGAGAAAACTCACTCCTTCATTTTTCATCTCACACTATTCCCAAGACAAAGTTAAAAGAACAAATACATTTATATCAACACAGCTGGGTCTATTTGCCTCACAGAGCAACGTGAAACTGAAACTTTTTAATTCAAACTCAGAGATAAAGTTCACAAAGTTTAGTGTTTTACTTACATCCTAAAAATGTCTTATCTAAAGAAGTTAAAAATGAATCAAAGATAAGCAACGGCTTTGGAGGATTTTACTCACTCTGATAATGAAAAGCCTCTATATAAATGGGATTTGAGAAGGTGATATTTGCTGGAACTTTGATTTAGATGCAGCAGATTTGTACAGGATTACAGCTCAGACAATGACTGGAGTTATCATAATCCCTGATTCTGCTCAGGTAATACTCGGTCTTCAATATCAGCACTTTTGCACGAGCCTGACCAGTACGCTGCTGCTGCTGCTGTGTGATCACTTTTTCTTCTATCATCCCATCTAACTCTCTTCAAATGGCAGCTGCATACTGAGATCTGATGATACATGCTTGTCAAGGCTCACCATCAGCTGTGAGAAGAGGCCGATGAGATCCTGAGGGGGGAGCACCACCGAGGTGTTCAGAGGGATCACAAAGCAGGTCCTCAGAGTCAGGTCCAGGTATGCCGTCAGCTTCTGCTCACACAAACACACAAAGTAGTCAGGACTGAATTTAAACCGCAGCAGCAGGGGATCAGCACCCTCACAGGACTGGGTTCAAGGTTTTCAGTGTGGGTGTTACCCTGTTGAAGTCATGGAGGATGTAAGCAGGGTCTCCGGGTCTGAAGCGGGGAGGTGGGACGCTGATAACAGCCATGCTGTCGGAGATTTCCACCTCCTCCTCCACACGGGGCAGGTAGTATGGCTGGCTCTCTCCTCCAGCTCCGGCTGATATGTCATTGAACTGCATGGCACCGTGATACAGCCTCTGGAGAACACAAGCAACACAGGAACAAAATTAACCACTTATTCCACACTGCCAAACCAAGAAGAAACACTTCGTTGATGCCCAGTCTTAGCTGTCAGATGAAGACAATACACCCCCTGATTTTTCGGCATTTCGGTTTGACAGAATTACAGAGGAGAGAACATCAGCGGTATTTCAGAAACAGGTCTGCCAGGAGGAGGTGGAGGAGGAGGAGCACATGAAGGGTTAAGTAAGAGAGACGTGCAGTTCTTATAAAAGCAGAGTTTAGTGGAAATGTTTTACCAAGCAGTTTTTAAGAGTTACCAAATGGCAACTGTCCACCAGAGGGCATGAATAAATTCAGTCTGCAATGATTTTCGTCTTTTTTTTCATATCTGTAGTACTGTTGAGACCCTCCAGTGACACAGCAACAATATCACAATGTGAAGTCTGCACTTTTCCTGAAGAAGGAAGTGAGTAAGAGTCAGCATTCTGGTTTCCCCACAGTCCACCACCAGTGTCTCTTCAGCGGTCTAAAGCAGCTTTATTAAATCTTCTCATAATAACCAAAGAGCTGATACTCCCTCATGGCTCCCTGTGCACATCTCCAGCTTAAGTGACTGCAATTTAAGGATAACATCTGAGATAGACTTGGTGTTCAATGTCAACAGTGATAATAATCATGTTTAAGGAGCTAATTTAAGACTCCCTGGGAGAAGACCATCTCAGCATTTTTAATAAAACAGACCTCTAATCATCCTGTTTGTTAATTCGCCCAAATGGAAGTGCACAGTCATATTTTTTTTTCAATTTGTTTATATGACAGGGACAGTACATCTAATTAAAGAGCAAGCAATTCTGTGTATGCAGGACTTCTAGTCGTGGCTAATTTGCAGTCCTTGTCTCTGGTTAGACAGTGAGAAATACAGCACATAATTCATAAACCACTAAATAAAAACTAACTTTATAGCAGGTGCAGACATGCATAAAACAACAAGAAAGCAGACAAACCAAGCAGTATGCACAAACATCCAGAGACTTACATATACATACATACATACATACATACACACATACACACGCATACACATAGATACATATATACATACCTACACATAGACACACATACATGCCATAATATACATATATGTAAGTTATTAAACTGTAAAAAATACACACTTAGATGCAATAAAAGCATTTTCTGACTTGTGAAAAATATGCTAATGCACAATCTGGACACATCACACTAGTACTTGTCTCTGTGAAATGTTATTTAAAGTAAGCCTACAAAACTACTTCAAGCAGGGCCAGGCTGGATAAACCCTGAGTGAGTCAATATGTGTGTCAATGTGTGTCTGAGTCCTGTGAGAAAAATCTAGAAAGCTCCATCAGACATAGACACACACAGATTTACCTTAGGTGTGAAATATCGATAGAGGCACGCTCCCCCCACAATGAGCCCACTGAGGATGAAGGCGATGCCCAGCAGCGTGAGCAGACAGCGACCTGTGGAGCCCTCGTTGCCCGCTGGAGCAGAGGCCAGCTCAGGGTCCTACAGAGACACACACACCCACCCACACATGCACATGGACACAATATGAGAGAAAATCAAACAGGGAGTCAGATTGTGTCATACGAAAGATATCAACATTAAAACACGAAGATTTGCCAGAGCAAACTATAATCCCGTTGAGGCTTTGGCCTCTGCAGAACAGCTGTTCAGGAGATGGGCGGTCCCGCTGTGCTGGATCAGGTGCTGAATTGTTTTGCATGCATTTGGCCAAAAATCCCTGCACATCTTTAGTGTAAGAAAACGACAAAAGAAGCGAATGCATGACGACCACATTGAGTAAACAGATTAATGTCTCGCTCAGCCGCCCGCTTGGGGCCGATTCAGGCCTACCGCCAGACTAAAAACGGACCCCGGGCTCAGACACCGCATTGAAGCCCGTTGGCTCACCTTCTCCGCGGCTGGGACCTCTTTGCCCAGCGCCTTCTGCGCCAGAGCCGAGTTAAAAGCGATCTTCACCATGCTGGAGACGGGGAAACCTCAGCTCAGGTTTCTTGTGCAAATGAAAAAAGGGAAGACAGAGGGTGCTGGACAGCAGGTCCTGTTCACTCTCAGCAGCAGCTCCGCGTTGTGACGCACTTTGCAACCTCGGCTTTTTCTAGCGCTTCCGGTGGCTGGAGGGGATTAAGCTCACACCACCAGAGGAAAGAAGCTGGATAAACTGGTTTTATTTATAGATACAAAGCACTCACAAACGACTGGAGGGTGAAACTTTTTCTACACTATTTCTGCCGGATGAGCAGAGACCACTGAAATCATATATCGCCTTGTCTGTTGTCTTCAGAGTCTTCACTTTAATTTTGCTTTACCTTTGGCGCCATCTAGTGGTCACAGAAGACAAGTAGGGGAGAGTGGGGTAAGATGAGCCATATTTCAGATCACTACATCAAGGCAATCATAGTTTTGTCTCTAACTAGTATATCTGCATATATTTCAAGATGTTGTGAATCCCTGCAAACCAACAGATTGAGTGTAAACATAACTGTCTTGATAATATAGCATGACAAAAAAAGTGGTCTCCTATGGTCAACTTACCCCGTGTATGGAGTAAGTTGACCATAGGAGCGGGGTAAATTGAGCCGTATCCCTACTACCCCCCCACTCTCCACCCTAGCCCTCCCTCACCTTCTCTCTCCCTGAACAGTCACTTCTTCACATTCATGTGTATTTTTATCTATTATACACTATTCAACTGGTACAATTACTCTTTTTATTATTATTGCATATAACTGCTAAAAAGCTGTTTTGTAAAAAGCCAGGAAAGACAAAGTAACACATTTCATCAATCTGAACTGAAACTCTGATCCTCTCATCAGACTCTTTTATGGCTCAACTTACCCCTGAACTACTATAATGACTTTATTAGTCCTCTAAGCTAAAATGGTGGACTTTTATGCTAAGTTTTTGACCTCATGTTGTAGCTCATAGATACCACAATTGATGTATAAAACAAATTTAAAATGATCTTTTTTGGTCTGAACACAATTCTAATAAAACTAAAGACAGACTAAATTCACTTTCAAGAGTGAAAAATGTTTTTTTAGAAATAAATGTCTAACCCCTTCACCCACATGCTTCTAACCTTCACAGACTCCATCTCCTAAATATTTGGTCACATGATCAATTTCTTTTACCATTTCCAAGCAACATGGGGTGGCTCAACTTACCCGTTGGCTCAACTTACCCCACTTTCCTCTACTTACATGTTTTTATTTAACATGAATCAACTTTCACCCCTGAAAAAAAAATCTCCCAACATCTGAAGTGTTTACTCTCTGTTAAATTTGACTCTTTAGACCTGCTGTATTCTGTACTGTGAAGGACATGAAAATGACTCAGTTATGCACTGACTGCTCTGTAATTTAATAAAAGCTATATTTTCGGTGTATAAAGTAGCCCATTCATCTCTGTTAAATATTCCACTCTCTAAAATGACTTTGTAAATATAGTCCCTCTTAAAGCGTGGGCATTACCTGCCAGTGTGTTTGCCCACTCACACTGACACTCACAGAATACAGCCTTTACTGCACTGTGTGGAAACACAAACCCATGCCAAGGCTATACTGTATGTCTGACACATATCCTCAGTCCCCTGGTCTGTGGTGGTCCTCTGCTTCCTCTGCTTTTACTCTCCTGACTCAGTTAAGGCTGAATGTATGAGTAAATAAACACTTACTGCTGTACCGGCGCTCTAATTCCACGCAACTCTGTGGCATCTCTCCAGCACCCTGCACTGCAACTGTACCGCATGCATCTCCCACTCTGACAAACACAAGCACACACGCACTCTGCATGGCTATGATATTTCCTCTGTTAAACAGACAGATTGCACCGGTAATCACCACTGAAAGGTACATAAACAGAGCAGCTGATTTCTGTACCTCACTCCCCCTCTGCGCACCCACCAAAACTCACTCTCCCTAAAAATCCTAAGTGGTCCTGAAGGCTTGTTTATAAGCTCGTCTTACGCTGTGTTTGATCTGAGAGCTTGCCCACACATGCATAGGTGGACCCACACACACTCACACCGGGCAAGAGAGAGAGGGAGGGCCAGCATTAACAGTAATAGCCAAGATGATAAACAAAAGACTTAAATTTAATCCCGAGGGCTTCTCGGTATCACACACACCAGAGACAGAGCAAAAGGCAGAAGAAGGAGCCAGGAGGCAACTGCACTGAGTGAAATAAGGGAAGATTTGGGGGATGAAGCGTAGAGGCAGGTGGAGGGGGTGGTGGGGGTGATTGGACTGAACCTGGGGGAGAGTAAAGTGATGACTGGGAAAAACCAAGAGGGAGTTACAGGGAGAGGCAGAGCAATCTGCAGTGTCTGATGCTTGAGTGAGTTTTCCGAAGAGTTGATTAACGGCAGATTAAACTTGCAGTCCGTCCAGTTTACATCCAGAACTTTCTAATGCGCCTGCCAGGTAGAACGCCGTGCCTCTCCAGCTAAAAAGAGTAAAAAATACATGAAAAGACGTCCGTGTTTCTATGCAGAGTTATGCAGAGGTAGCAGGCATCATAACAGTAGGTGACAGGCATGTATGATGGAGCCTGAATGCCCATGTTTCCCTGTGGTCTGCAGTTACCATCCAGCAAAAGCAATAAAAATACACACTACATCATGCACGAGTATATACACAAACACACGCCTTGCATGCTAAGTCAGCAAACTATGAAAGTCCGCAGAGGGAGGACTGCCTAAAAAAAGTGTGAGAAAAAGAGGCTCTCATTCATGACATCACCTACATGCAAGCCAGCAAATATGATCACACACACACAGAAGACGCAGACACACACACCTCATAGATTTGTCATCAATTTCAATACCAGACATGTGAAACCACAAGTGACAAATGACTCTGTCCCTTTCACTGGTTCCTAAGTCTTGGAGTAGAGTCGCACACACACTTACACAGAGTCCAAATCCTGCTATGGCAACAGCTGGCCACAGAGTTGAACCAAAGAGTTAGACACTGCTCAGTGCTTCATAACGTCACTGACATGTCTTCATGCGGACCCGCCATAATCACCATGTGCCTCCAGTGGGAGAACATTTAGTGGTCAAAGAGAGAGAGAAAGAGAGGGATGGAGAGAATTTAAGAGACAAACAGAGGATCATGTGGTAGAAAGAAGTGAGCCCCCCTCACCCCACCCCTGAAAGAAAAAATCCGCCTCATCACACTCTCATGATCCTTGCCCCGCCACACACACACTTCTGGCTATCACATATGGCTTTGAGACAGCGGTGACAAATGAGTCTTTCCTGAGAGTATCAGCTTCTAAAGCTACCTTGGCTCTCTCATAGCGCTGCCTGTCCGCCTGTCTTCATCTCCTCAGCTTGGCTCACCTCAGGGAAATGTAATAATTTCATGCTGATGGAGCTCTGATGGGTTGGATAGGGTGCAGGTGGGGGATAACATCACATACACCAGCTTCTCATTACTTTGTAAGAACTTTACCAAGTTCTCATTAACTACCCACAAGCTCTTGACCAGCTTGTACAATTAAAACTGAGAGACATAAATCTCTCCAGCCCCAGCTTTGAAGGTGGTGCAAGGGCCCTAAAAGGACTCAGGGAATCATTTGTAAAACTTGTATTTGTATTTGATGTTCTGTGTGTCTCTCACACAACTTTGCACTAATATACTCCATGCTGGCCCTTAGCCTACATGCATGTCAGTTTGCTCGGCACATACATATCATGCTAAGTCCCATATTACTGCCTTTATTTCAGGTGATCCACAGGCTGCACATTTAAATAAACTTGTCCTACACCAAATATGGCCACTGCATAGTCGCATTGCGATGTTTCAATCTCTTTAAATGTGTCGCCAAAGCCTTCAGACATCGATAAAACATCACTCCTCAGAGCCTGAGTTATTGTTCAAGGCTTTAATGTCTCTCCATGAAACAGGAAGTCATTGTTACTCTTTCATACAATGCTTACATTGCTGGAAATCTCATTTACAAGATCAAAGTCCACTCCTGAATCCATCTTTATGCTTATCTTATACCTGCAGCCATGGCCGCTCTCTGCACTAAAACATTGTATGAACTTTGATATAAAATGTATGATTTGCTCCAAATGTTACAGGTTTGATGACAATCACAGCCTCAGCTTAATGCATACACATTTCTGTCATAGGTATAACACCCACTATTGGAAACAAGCAGCATTAATTACATTTAATTAGTGTACAGTCATAAACACTTCTGCAGAAAGAAACTGTGTCATAGTCGTTGTCACACCCACTGGTTAAAAGCTACACTGTCCTTTGTGCTTAAGATTACAGATGCTGACAGTCTTTGCTTGACCAGATTTGCACGTTTCTCCATAGTGACAGCGCCACCTCCTGGTGCTTTGTCACTGCGATACATGCTAGCATGCATAAAGATTTAAGGGCCTGTTCATAACAACTTGTAGCTTTAATTTGTTTAAATCTTAAATCTCTTGTGAGAAGTTAACACCACTTTTTCATGGATAAAAAAAAACTGCAACAATATGAATGTTACAACTCTGCCCACAGGGGGGCATTAAAGTCAACACGGAAAGAAAATTCCTCACAGTAGCTTTAATCAGTTCAATGTCCTACATTTTGACAAAACGTCTAAACACAGTTAATATTTGTCAAAGTTAACCATCAGTACACTGGTGTAAAATCTTCTGGCTTTGAGTGGAGGTTGACAGTTTTGCTGACTTCATGCACAAACTAACTCAAACAAACTTGCACTGATTTATTTTTGTAGTGTCTTTTAAATTTACAATACAAATTTAATCTTAAAAGAATGAAAAAGAAAAAGTTAGGTTTGCAGTGATTATGGCTCTGGTGGCCATTAGATTATGTTTTCATTTGAATACTTGCATAGTCCATAGTTAATCTGTGATTCATCACAAATCAATCACACATATTATATTTATTGAAACTGTAACATAAAGGGATGTTTGCAGAGTTTTCAATACTGTAATCAAAATGTGAGTGGACAAATATGCATACTTTATGTTATTATATTACTATTATTATCATTAAGATTAGTTAACCATGTAGCTTTTAAACACAGCTGTTACATGAATAATGTATACCTGAGAAACAACCAAAAGAGGGATGATCTGATACTAATCATCCTCCCCGGTATGGATCATGAACATAAACCATAAGTCTTCATGAAAGACTTATGGTTTGAAAACATGAAAACATGATGTAACTTTGTAATTTTGTAATTAAGTTTTATGTGGCTTTATTAAAAAAAAAAAAAACTTGTGACTTAATGTTGATGAAATAGATTGTTGGATGACAGGAGTCTTAAAAGACAAAGTAAGGGAGAGGGTATGATGGAGGGA